GTAGTTATTATTATAATATTACAATAATGGCGCTGTATTATTATAATTAACGATTTACTATTATTGACGTCATCTAAACGTATGAAAGATTTTTACACTGTTGAGACTTGAAGTAAATAATATATTTAGTTTATTTTGGTACATCACGATGACGAAAGAGTGAGAGTGAGAAATAGAGAGAACGAGAGAGATAAATTGACGAAAAAATAAAAAAAGCCGAAGGCAAAGAAGTAGAAAAGCGGAGTACGAGCTATTTTTTAAGAGACAGACTTTATTACTCGATTTGAGTCCATGCATTAAGGTAAAAAGTAAATAAAAAGAACGCAGAGAATAAGTGTGAAAGGAAGAATGAATTTTGCATGAAAGAGGTCATGTACGAAAGAATGAGAGAAAGAAAGTGAATGAAAAATGGGAAGCTGAAAGGAAAAAAATGAGAGAGAGAGAGAGAGAGAGAGGAGCGCTAATTAGCGAGTGTGTATTGTGTATTTGTTGCACAAGGCGAGATTGTCACCACTTGACTGACAAAAAAATCCACATGTGATTTTAATAGTAAATTTTGAGAATTTTACTAAATAGAGACTCTTGTATACACTAAAAAAAGTAACTAAAGTAATTATCGTGACTGACCAAACGAAGAAAAGGGAAAAAAAAGGAGAAAAGCGAGTAAAGCAGAGCAGCAGTAATAGTTGCGCCGACTGGTTCAGGTCGAAAAAGGGAAAGAAGAGGGGATCAAGATGGCGAATATAATTTATCGTGTGTCAAACATCCCCGGATATGGAAAAAGTTAGATTCCACAAGAGTGACCGGAAAAGAAGGGTAGCCGGAAAAGAAAGAAAGATAGAGAAAAAAGGAGAAAAAGAGCGATCGCGAGCGAGAGTATAGTTATTATGTACAGAAAACGTGCAGAGACGCGTCTTTTTTTCTTGCGGCGACGTGTTTTTTCGCATATAGGTAGAGTTGAACATGATGATTTAAAAAAACCGTAGGATAAGCAACGAGTGAGCGAGGACTCGCTCGAATTAGGAGATAATAGGAAAAGGGCGATCTTTTATCGGATTAAGAAGCGGCTAAGTTTATAAATAGACGTAGATAGGTAGAACAATAGTTTAGTTATATAGTAGTTAGGATACGAATATGCCTCTCATCCCCCGTGTCCCCTATCCTCCCTCTGTGTGTTGTCGCGGGCACGGGGGGCACGGGCGTGGGGCACCGTTCAGCCTATGCACCTCGCACCCGTCAAGACTGACTGGCTATTCATATTAATTGATAAATATATATATATATATATATGAAATAGATAATGATTACA